ACGATATAAATACTAAAAATATCGAAACACCTTAAAATCACTATGCGCTCCTGCTGTTATTTTATCAGATCCAAAAATGAATTCTTCTGCAGCACGACCACCCATTGCACTATCCATTTGCGCCAATAATTTAGATTTTGTTATATGAAGTTCATCTTTATTAGACAAAAAAGCAGTCTGTAAAAATGATGTAAATTATGTTTAAAACAAAAAAAACGAATTAAAAATTAAACATAATATTTTATATTATAATCTTGGAATAATATAAGTAAAAGCTAATAACTACCTCATAATACTTACATGTCCTAGAGAATGCCCATGTGGCATAATAGTAATTTTATGTAGTGCTGGTGCATCTTTAGTGTAATATGCAACTAATGCATGTCCTGCTTCATGATATGCTGTAATAGAGTTGGTTTCTGGATCAGTAATATTTAATCTTCTTTCTGGGCCCATAATTAGTTTATCTCTAGCATATTCTAAGTGTTTCATGGTTACATATTCTGCATCATTCATAGCTGCTTTTAAAGCTGCTTGATTTACCTTCCAAAATTAAACCAATTATAGCAAAATTAATCTAAGTTAAAGATAATATTTTATTTATGTACCACATAAATACCATATTCTCTATATCAGCTCCAGTAAATCCAACAGTACATTTTGCTAAATAATCTGGGTCAACATCTTGTGTTAATATTCTTGATAAATATAAATCGAATATTTCTTTTCGACTCAAGTAATCCGGTACATCAACAACAACTTCAATATCAAAACGACCAGGCCGCATTAATGCTTTATCCAAATCATCGCGTCTATTCGTTGCACCTAATACTATCACACCTTCATTCTGAAGGAATCTACAATTATGAAAAAGAAGATTAAATAATTGATTATTATCATACATAAAATTAACTCACAAAATTATAATTTATAAAAATCACCACGGAGTGGTTGAAATAAAATTTTATTTTTTCAGAAAAAATGAAATTGATAGAGAAAAGAACTGAATCACTTAATTAGAACTATTTTTTTCATGATACAGACATATCTTCATTTTCAACATAAACAAGTAGTAAAATATATTAGAAGAAAAATAATAGGAAAAAGTTTGAAAATGTAATAGTATATCTCTAAAATAAAGAAAAAAGTAACATACAGGTCTTATTTACTACATAAAAACTATAAATACATATTGTTTGTAAGACTGCATTTGAAAAAGATCATGTTATAGCACTATAGTTCACATTAACTTCTTCATTTCTTGTTCTACCAATTTCCTTTGTTTTCATATATAACCCATATTAGTTCCTAGAACCATCCTGTATGCTGCAAAAAAGGAGGTAAAATTTTTAGTTTACCCGTCCATTTCTGTAAGTAATTGATTTACTGTTTGATTTGCATATGGGTGAAGAGCTGAATTTGTTCGTTTTGAACCAACAGAATCAATTTCATCTATAAATATTACGGCAGGTGCTTTCTCTTTTGCTGCTTCTGAAAAAGTAAGAATCTGTAAATGAATTGTACAAACTTCTTTGTGTCTTTTCATTGAAATCATAAATGATAATATTACACACACACACACACACACACACAGATTTTATTTAGATTTTAATCAGGAACAAAGATATTTTCGTTATCAAATCTATATTGTATAAAACTAAATGACTGTCATAGTATGTACTTTCTTATAGCTCTAAAATTAGAAGAAATATTTTAAGTAATGCAGTTACTAATTGGGACAAACTAAATCGTTGTACAAATAAAAAGGAGTATATAAATAGATAACGTTAGAGGCAACTTTAAAATATTATAGTCAAAACATTCACTATCATAAATAGCATGTAGGATTTCTAATATACATAGCACATCAAAATACTACTAACTATAAAAGATGTACATTAGGTAGTAATTTTATAATTTGTTTTTAGCAATTATTATATTTTTGTAAAATCTTTATCTTAACTTACTAAATAAGTCTCTCATTCTACGTGCACCTTGCCCTACTAAAATCTCATCAAATTCTGGTCCAGCAGCTTGGAAAAATGGTACAGCAGCTTCACCAGCTACTGCTCGAGCTAATAATGTTTTTCCTGTTCCTGGTGGTCCTACTAATAATACACCTTTAGGTAACTTTGCACCAAGTGCAGAAAACTTTTCTGGATTTTTCAAAAATTCAACTATATCTCTCAATTCTTGTTTAGCTTCTGCAACCTAATTATACATAAATAAACAAACATACAACATTTAATAGTGTGGAAGAATCTAATATTGAAAATTCTGATGATTTACTTACTCCTTTAATATCATTAAAAGTTATGTCTGTTGTTTCTGGTCTAAATCTCAAACCATCTATTGGAAATCGTAGTCCACTTCCTATAGCATAAACTATAACATTAAAAATATGTGAAAAATTGCATTATTACTCACAATTTGAAACATATTAATGACCTTTAAATATTACTTGTATACTCTTTTACATAACAGGTTTAAAGTTGTAATGAAAATGTCTTTCAATTAACTAGATTATTGTTCAATAATTTTTAAAACACTACAATCATCTATTTATCTTAACCAATGATGTTTAATACTAAATAACATTTTAATGACATATTAAATAAAAGAACTATATCAAGATAAAGTTATGTGTGAAATTTACATACTGTGAAATCTACATACCTCCACACCACATTATTAGTAACAAAGATCCTGCTAATACACCAAATATTAGTTTTTGCCAAATATTGTTTGTACGCATGTGGCGTTGAAGCCCTGCTTCGTATCCTTGTGCAAAAGCTGATGCAATCCTGTTATGTTCTTCTGTCGAGATTTGATTATTATTAAACAACTGTTTAAATAATGCAGGGTCTTTTTCTGTCAGAACACGTCCAAACACTGGACTCTATGAAATATAAATATAATGATTATTTTATAAAATGTATTAAATATTGTTAATATAAGTTATAAATAATACATGATCTTACTGTTCCATAATATTGACCAACCCATTTTTTGAATTTATTTATAATAGATGATTTTTTTTCCAATTCAGCATCTATATTACGTTTTGTTCTAAAACTACGGATTTGTACATGATAATTAAATGGGTTTTTAATACAAAAAGTACATAATGTTCTATGATGTTGTTTAGATGGTAAATACATAGTAGGCAAAATAATTTGTTCTGTAAGTTGTGTACATGAAAACTTTTCTTTGTTTTCTGCAAAATTCAACCCTGACACATAAGATATTTTCCACTTATTACTTTTTTCTAACTGTTTTTTTAAAATTTTCATGGAAAGTTGGTCTAATACTACCAAAACATTGTTTGTTTTTATATTAAGCATTGTAATTACATCAAACATGTTTAATTTGCCTATTAAAATATCCATATAACTTCTTGTAGCCTAAAATAAAATGTAAGTTTAGTAAATTATTATAATTTTATATAATACATTACCAATATATCTTACTTCTG